CGTACGTAAACGTAAACGTTTTAAGTTTTAATTTATTACTCGTTCGTTTACGTTTAGTTAGTAAGTACGTTCGTCACTTACTTTACGTACACGATAAGTACTCTCTCTCTCTCTCTCTCTCTCTCTAGAGCACTCTTCAAAACCCTCATTGTCACTTCATTACCTCGCATGACATGTAGAGATATTCATCTAACTCTTCTACTATCCTCGCAACACTCTAGTTTTTCTCTATCCATTCTTGAGCTGTTCACACTGAGAAAGTTTATTCTTGTGAAAAGGATCAAAAGCTCTCGATGCCATTAAAATTGGATTTTACAGTAAATTCTAGTGATTTCATGTGAAAGTAAACCTTTGGCCCTCGAGATTCTGTTTTTTATATTGCTTTCTTTCTTTTTGGCGGTTTGCAGGTGGACCTGACTATTGAATTGCTAGAGGATCTTCTGGGAACAATCCAGGTTAGCTTCACATAACCCCATGTCGATGCTAGAACTCTTATCCTTATATATATACTCGATGAAGAATCACTGCTTCCTTGGTCTCAGTCATTTTCGTTGTGGAAGTGTCACCTTTCACAAGTATATGATAGTTTGTAGCCAACCATATTCTATCGGAGAAATGGAGTAGCTATTGCAGATGATAGTTATTTTGATTTTATGTGGTTTTCTTTGGAGCTTTTTATTTCTGATATCAAATTTTTTGTCTTTAACCTAGTGGCCTGGAACCAAACTCCAAAGCATTGTCATGTTTTTGTTTTTCTTCTTCTGAGAACTCAAGCTGATCATCCTTCTGTTTAGAAAAGAAAGAAACATAGAACAACCCGCCTTCCTCACTTTCTCTCATTGCAAGTACTCAATAATGTTTGGTTTGTACCTATCTGGGTCCAACCTAATTGTCGATGTCTCTAGGTTTGGTAAAATTTTGGTTTAAAAATTTCTGGATTTTCTGTAATGTCTCTTTTCTTTGTATCATTGCACTATATTAACAGAAAGATAATAACCTTACATAACAAAAATACGAGTCTTTTATATCTTGTTGTCAACTCTCAATTCAACCTCGGAATATCTGTGTAATGTGGTCTTGTGTTTGTCAAATATCTTGTTTTTACATCGGTATCCCTCGACTTTTATTGCCCCTCCTTGCCACATGAGAGGAAATTAGCATTGAAGAAGTTTTGTTGAATTTGTCAGGGTAGCCATAATTCTCCGGGTCGTGCTCGTGCTGCTCTGAAGTATATCATACTGGCATTGTCAGGACATGTGGATGATGTAATTGCACTGTATAAGGTCCTGTTAATCTATCTTTTATCTTTATTCGGTAATTTAGTATATCAGCTAAGAGTCATTGTGACCATATTTGCATAAATTTATTTGGCTTACTGCCTGGCAACTGCCTTTCAAGTAATATTATCTCCTCATTCTAATTTCAGGAAGTTAAGCACAAGTTGCTCTTTCTCTTGGAAATGCTAGAGCCTTTTCTTGATCCTGCTATTACTGCAGTTAAGAATACCATTGCTTTTGGAGATGTTGCTTCGGTTTTTCTGGACAAACAGGAACAGGCTTGTGTGATAGCTCTTAATATAATACGCACGGCAGTGCGCAGATCAGCTGTTCTTCCCCCCTTGGAATCCGAATGGAGAAGAGGATCTGCTGCACCAAGGTATCTTTTGAGAAAAAATTGGCCTCTTATCCATTTCTTTTCTCTCTCATATGTCACTACAAATTTTTTATGGCCAAGTTTAGAGTTGTAAATGGAATGTAGAAAACATAGTCCACTAGGGTCACTGCTGTTGATGATATGTTGGAGCCCGCCATTTGGGATCATACCTGCTCTGGTGGGTGCCACTCTATCGCCATGCATCATTTTATTGGTTGGTGATGGCCGCAAATGGGCTAAAAGTATACCATAATTAGGTCTGCAACTCGGCCTTCGGAGTAGCTTGACTGAGACTCAGCCTGGGACTCCTGGAAGTCAGGACTTGAATATGCGCTGCCCAGTCACCATTTTGATGGGACTCCACGCAGCCTACATTAGATAAATGTACCATGTCCACTCTGGTATCACTTAAAGTTCACTGCCTTTGACAGCGCATTTGATTTTTATTGGGTTAGCCAAGGTTCGAATCCCTTGGCCTTCCAAAGCAACCCTTTTAATGGGAAGACATAATTGGTAAACCACCCAAAACATGGTGGATTATTAAAAATCTGGTTGCCGAATAAACAATTAGAAACAAGGTGGATTATTAAACCCCCTTACAAGCAACATAAAAAGAATTCAGTCAATTGTAATTTTAGTGATCCAGTCAAAAACATAGTTGTATTAGTGAAAATCGGATAAGTTGGATTAAGAATTATGACTAATGGGCCATCCAGGTCGGCCCCAGTCTGTCCAGTTTACAGATAATAAGGGTATGTCGACCCTCATTAGTAAGGCCCTCGTGTGGCCTGTTAATACCTCGGCCTCTAATTCGGGCCTGGCCATGTGATGGGCTCCTGAAGGGATGTAGACCTGACCTGGCGTGCCCGGCCTGATGGGCTCCATGAAGGAATGTCGACCTGACCTATGTCAGGCAGGGTCTGCACAGCCTGTTGCGCATGCCCTAACCGTAATGCATTGGATTGTGTATTACACTTCCTCATTATTTGGACTTCATTGTGTGCTGATAAAAATTTTCTTATGTGTTGTGTTGTTGACAGTGTTCTCCTCTCTATTCTTGCACCGCACATGCCATTGCCTCCTGAAATTGACAATTGCAAATTCTCAGCTGCTAAAGGGGCAGAGCGAGAATCATCCAGTATTTCGTATAGTTCCACTCCCCCCCGTTATGGAACTTCCTACAAACCCCAAATTGAAGATGAGGCTGAAGGAAAGAGTGATGTATCAGAGGGAAATATGAAGATGGAGATAACTGAGGATGCTAGCCTTCTCTTTGCTCCAGCTGTCTTGAAACATGCCATTCTAAAGAATTCTCCAAGCCCTTCTGAAGGTTCTAGTGCAGATAGTCAGACTTCTCAAAGTAACAAAGATGGGAAACCACCAAATGAGAAGAGTGCGAATAATCAACTGCCCAGTGGGTCGATTTTGGATGTTGGTTTTGCTGATGAGTACTTCAACTTGCAGGCAGATTATCTCCAACTTGTAAACCATCAAGACTGTGAGCTTAGGGCTTCTGAATTCCACCGTTTAGCTTTAGAGTTACACTCTCAGCATGAGGTTTCCCCAGAGTCTCATAATGCAGCCATTGATGCCCTGCTTTTAGCTGCAGAGTGCTATATTAATCCTTTTTTCGTGTTGGCCTTTAGAGAGCCTCCAAAACTTGCCAGCAGATTGAACATAAGCAAAGAAGCGATGCTTCCAACTGATCATATTAGTTATGCGAAAGGACAAACCAAGAGAAGTAATGGATTGGAAACAATAGCTCTCCTTGAAAGTAAAAGAGACAAAAATGTTCTCCAAATACTCCTCCAAGCTGCAGAATTGGATCGCGAGTATTGTAACCGAACAGCCAATGAAGAATATCCCCAAGATATTGAGCAAGATGAGGGGCATTGCTTGAAAATCCTTCCAGAGGATGTGCAGTCCTCAGATGCTGTTACCCTAGTTAGGCAAAATCAAGCCTTACTATGCCACTTTATTGTCCGACAATTACAAAGCAAACAGCACACAATGCACGAAATCCTTATGCAGAGTCTCTTATTTTTACTCCATTCAGCGACTGAGTTGTTTTGCCCTCCTGAGAGTGTTGTTGATATCATATTAGGATTTTCTGAGCATCTTAATGGGTTGCTTACATCTTTCTATTATCAGTTAAAGGATGGGAACTTGCAATTGGACCTTGAAAGGACCCATGAATTAAAACGACGTTGGGTTCTTCTCCAAAGATTAGTTGTGGCTTCCAGTGGCGGCGATGATGGCAAAAGCTCCAGAATGAGATCGAGAAATGAGTTTTGTTTCAGGAGTTTGGTCCCTCCTTCATCCTGGATAAAGAAAATTTCAAAATTCTCTACCTGTGCTTCACCACTTGTCAGGTTTGTAGGGTGGATGGCCCTGTCTCGTCATGCTAAAAATTATCTCAAAGAAGGGTTATTTCTTGCCTCAGACCTTTCACAGTTGACAAGCTTATTGAGTATTTTTGCTGATGAGCTTGCATGGGTAAATAATTTAGCCAACCAAAAGGATAATGAAGAAATATCGGAGGCCTTGATGGGCTTAGCAGGAGTGAATCAGAATGCACCGGCCAGTGGAGGGTCTGATTCTTCTGTTTCTGAAGGTTTTCTTCAAGTTATTTATCCTGACATCCATAAGTTCTTCCCAAACATGAAGCAGCAGTTTGGGGTCTTTGGGGAAACTATATTGGAAGCTGTGGGCTTGCAGTTGAAATCCCTTCCGCCTTGTGCTGTTCCAGATGCTCTTTGTTGGTTCTCTGATCTGTGCCTTTGGCCATTTGCAGAAACAGAGAGAGGCCTGCAGTTTAGTGGGAAGAACACACGTTCTTTGAAAGGTTATGCTGCCAACAATGCCAAGTCAATCATCTTATACCTACTAGAAGCCATTGTTGTGGAGCACATGGAAGCTATAGTGCCTGAAATACCTCGAGTGGTTCAAGTGTTGCTGTCTTTATGTAAAAGCTCTTATTGTGATGTGGGTTTTCTAGATTCTGCCTTACGTCTGCTGAAGCCTCTCATTTCATATGTTTCAGGAAAGGTGCTTGCTGATGAAATAGAATCACCAGAAGGATCAACATGTATGAATTTTGAGTCCTTATGCTTTAGTGCACTTTTTAGCTATATTGGTTGTGGCTCTCAGGTGCAGGATGGGTCTGTTGACAAGAGTTATCAGGGGGCACTGATGATTTTTATTTTGGGATCTCTCTTTCCAGATTTTTCCTTTCTGAGGAGGAAGGAAATTTTGCACTCCTTGTTATGGTGGGCTGATTTCGCTCACTTTGAACCAACATCTTCATTTAGTGACTATCTTTGTGCATTTCAAAATCTCTTGAATAGTTGTAATTCCATGTTGGTTTATTGCTTGAATGAGTTTGGCATTTATATTTCTGTTCCGTTGTCGCCCTCAGCTGGGAAAAGTGCCATTCTTTGTCCCGATAAAAGTGGAGACCATTCTAATAGTGGAGAGATTGACCATTCCAATAATGAAAATGGAATTTCAGAACGAAGGGTTCATTCATTGAAGTGCTTCTCATGTGTTGAGGAAGTAAAACTATTCTCTGAAGGATTGCAGGCCCTTATTTCAAAGCTCTCCCAAACTGTTGAGCTTTGCTGGAATCTTCATCCTCAACTCACAAAGAGATTGGCGCAAACTTTGGCGACTTGTATTCTGAACTTGAAATGCCTGTTATCCATATGCCAGTCAGCTGGTAGTAGCACAGACGATCTTAGCCTTACAATTGCAATTAACAGTATTGAAGGTTTGATGCACACGAAAACTGCTCTTGAAGGTCTTGCTGAAGTTGCCATAGCACTCCAGAAGAGCCATTGCTGGCAGGTGGCGGCTTTAATGCTAGATTATTTACTTGGGTTGCCTTCTCAATTTGGTTTAGACCATGTGGTTTCTTCTGCATGTTGGGCAATTAAGCATGCATGTCTCCATGCTCCAAAAATTTCTTGGCGGCTGCAGAGTGGTAAGTGGATGTCAAGTTTACTTGACAGAGGACTATCCAACCTCCCCAGTGAAGCGGTATCTTCTCTGGTTGATATGTTCTGTACAATGCTAGAAAATTCAGAACCCGAACTATGTTCTGTTGCTTTGCAGCTTCTTGAAAGACTTGTTGAGAGCACAAGCATTGGAAAAGAAGGGGGAATTAGTCAGGGTGATGGGGATAATGTATTGGCTCAAGCTGATATACCTGTTCCTGAGTCAGTTATGTCAGATTTAGTTGCGAGTACATGGGATAGAATAGCTGGTTTAGCATCTTCAGAGCCTTCAGTGTCTTTAAAAACTCAAGCTCTCAGACTGTTATCGGGCTTTATTCCTTTTACCAAACGCCAGCAGCTTCAGTCTTTCCTTTCATCAGCTCACACTCTTCTTCCATGGTTAAGCAAACTGGGATATTCTTTGAGCAATTGGACTGTGACACGACTGTCGTTAGCTCTTCTTGCCAGTGCATGCCTCTATTCCCCCATAGAGGACATTACTTTGATACCCCAAAGTGTATGGAAGAACTTGGAGGCCATAGGGGCATCAAAAAGTGGTCTGTTTGCTCTTATTCCTTCTTTTTTTTTTTTAGAAGCTCCTACTCTGTGAAATGAAACTTTCAAGCACTGTCACAAAGGGTGTGCATTCCATAATCCAGTGGAGTATGGTATAACGTACTCCAGGGAGCACCCATTATTTTTTCCTGATGATGGATGATGGAGATTAACATTGCCATGGGTGACTGTCCTGGTTGGCCCCAATACAGTTAATCTTCATTGTCTATCATCAGGAGCTGTCAGTGGATGCCGTTCGCCTTTGGAGTTCCATATACCATACGGTTGTGGATTATGGTAAACTTTCCTTTTTATGAATGATACTGTTTTTATTTGTTTTGAAACTCAGCTTGGCTATTTAACTTTGGTTTTTAGCCTGTTATTTCAGATGGAGGGGCTGGTGCTCCAGAAAAAATTGCCTGTCAAGCTTTGTGTCAACTTAGAGTTGGCGAGGAGGATGCTAAGGAGGTATTTGATGCATGTACCTTGGAAATGTAAAGTGCAGTATGAGGTGTTGTGCTCATGTTTCATGAGATTTTCATAATACCTTTTTATTTCTCTGGTTAATGGATAGTTTGGTTTTGAGAAGTTGGTATTTGACTTGGTTTTTCTTCCTTCCATACCCAATTCATTGTGCTGTTATTATCTTTGTGTATTACTTATTTAGGTTTCCATGAAACCTAACATTTTTTATACTTTCAAGGTTTTGAAAGGAGTTTTCGTATTGCGCTCTGGGAAGGAACCCATCAATCCTGATTTTGGAGGCACTCGCGAATCTATTCTTCAGGTTGGTAATTTCATGGGGTGGCGGCAATTTTTTGGAAAAACGCATTTGGTTAAAACAATTCTTCGGCTGCAGCTTTAGTTGGTAAAATAATCAGTGTTGCTGAAAACCTGAAAGGATGTAATTCTATACGCTGCTCCAGGCAAGCATTGAGTTTAGGTTTTGAAGAAGCCACTGTATGGTAGTGTGTATGCTGAGTGGAACTATCTATTTTAAAAGAGGGTCTGATGCATGCTGCCTAACTCATGTCCCCTCCTCCCCCCAAACATGCGCACAACACTAGCTGTGAACCAAATTTGCATGGCAGTATGGGAAGTGAGACTCTTTTACCTTGATTTCCTTGGGAAACTTCAGGCTGCAACCAAGAAAAAAACCCTGCCAACCTTGGTGTTCATCTGGTGACTTATCAATGAACTTTATCATCTTGAGGCTGTTTACCATCATATTGAGTGGAAGTCCATGCATAGATTAATTTCATTACTTTATGTGAGTTGTCCTCAAAACTTTTAAGTTGGTGTAGCGTTCACCATGAGTCACCGGAGAATTTTGGGATCATGTGTTGTATCTCTTGGAATTTATTTTTTGTTACTAGGATTTCAAGAGAGCAGAATAGGTCTTGGATGCCTTTCTTGAAGCAAGGACAAATCCTTTGGAGGTGGTTTTGTTTATTGTGATTTTGGGGAGTGTGGAAAGAGATTGGTAACATAATTTTACCTAAAGAAACAATAAACTTAGTGGTGTGAAGGTTGTCTAGAGTGGGGAGATAGTGCACAAGATGAGCCTCATGTCATCTTGTGAGAGTTTTTGTGATTTAGGTTTGGGTAGGTGATCTTGTTTTGGAAAGGTTGGCTTCACTTATTGTTGAGCATCCCACTAGAGCATTGACAATCGGATTGTTTTCCCGAGTGCAGAGGATTGCCTTTGTAACTAACAAGATTCATGATATCGTTGACTTTAAAACACCAATTATTTCATACTAGCGTTTTAAAAAACGTCGAGTCGAACCGGACTCGCCCGGTTCGACTCGGAATTCGCGAAAAGGGACCGGATCGGTTGAAAAATCGGAAATCGTCCGGTTCTAGAGAGAACCGGACGATTCCGCACAGTGACTCGCCGATTCACTGTACGGAATCGGCGAGTCC